CGGTCAAGCTTGAAGCTCGCTTTGCTGGCACAACAATTATCGTTTCTTAGCTCGCCAAAAAACTTGGGGGGGGAGGATGGGGAATTGGAATGCAGGCTACAAAGATAAAAAAGGCAGACCGTGAGAATCAAGGGCGATTGCACCTAATTGGGTAATGTGACCTATTCCTAAATAGGAGGAGAAACTCTATTCTTTACTAGGGGTTTGGGCTGGGGTTTGCTAGAGCTGGTTTTGCTTTCGTATGTGCTGAAATGATGTACTCGATAAAGAAATCAGAGTGTCTCAAAGGTGTTTGCTTGGTTGGGTTCATCAGTCGGAACCTTGACAACTTTCCAAGGTGGGAAAGAGAAGAATCTAGAAAAAGCATCATTTGACATTTGGTATCCGTAGCAGAACATCCAGATTCAGCCATAGTTTCATTCCATACAGCATTAACCTTGTGAACTCTCAAGCTTCCTCCTTCCGTTATATATTCAAGATGGACAGTATTTAATATTTATTTGCTACGTATATGTAGGGATGTGGGTCTATACGTATGTTGTTCATAGTATGTTTAGGTATGTGTCATGTATGTGTTTCACTTTGAGAGCGGGCAACGAAATTTCATTTTTGATGTGTGCCGTTGTGCCCACAGTAAAAAAATGACAATAAAGGTTATCTTATCTTATCTCTAGCCCACCATTTCCCCTCAGAACATCACTTTGAACAATCCATGACTGAACTGAGGAGTGTTTTCGAAAAAAATTAAAATGTTCTTCATAGTCTGAAAACTGAAGAAAAGGGAGGCAGATGGGTCGCTAGTAGTTGTATGAGACCGATCTCAGGAGGCTTCGTCCTCAGACCTTAGCCAATACAGATGTTCTATAAACCTAAGAGAAAAGCAAGCAAGAGCAATGAAGCTACTGGAAACAACTGCATTTGAACAACAGGTTTATTGTAAGAAAATTAACATGACATTACATAAAATTGCAAAATTGTGCAATTATGGCAAAATGTTTAAAAATCCACACATTTGCCCTCAGAGGACTACAGTACTGCTTTACTAACATACCTGAGCACTGAACATCTGATACCATTTCCACACAGATTTGGGAGCTTTCTGATATTATACAAACCGCATATACTACATAGAGGAGAACCGGCTTGGCAGGTTGGGAAACAACCAGCCGCACAGTCTCGCTCCATTTCCATGGGGCAAGTGCAAGGTTGTGATAAATATGCAACAAATGTGCTTGGTGGATTTTGCCTTTAAAACAACAAATTGTGGAATTAGAAACTGAGAATGTTTTCCGTGTCTGTTTTTAAAACGTATGTTACAACGGAGGAATGATGCACCAGGAAAAATAAGCTAAATAAACAAAACAAAAAAAACCAACAACAAAGAATATAAGTAGAAATATCAAATGCAACTCTGAACTGCTTAGCACAATCATGGGGACTTATGTCCATCTGGTCTCACACTGTGCAGGGTTCTTTCGGAATTAGATTACTCAAAAAACAAGTTTATACAGGAAAATTCCTATTAGATAATTTAAAGCATGTAAACAACTAAATTCCTCAGTTAATATTACTGCTTAAATAATTATTCATGCGTAAGACTCATGGTATTTCACCCCCCTGGTAAAAATTTCAAGATTTAACTCTCAAGCACTGTAGTCCACAGCCTCTCCCCTTTCCCCTCCCCCCTCTGAATGGTTAGACAAAGATTTTTATTTAGTGCAGATAAAAGAACAAAAATTAAGAGCAAACCTACTGCAGAATTAACCACAGCATATTCTATTTCTATTCATCACATGACAACTTCATTTGCTAACAAGCTAAGTTCTTAAATTTCAACTCCGATTGACACTTCTAAATAAATAATACAGAAGATTGTCAACAAGCAGCAATGTGTTTTGTAAGGTTTTTGAAAATGACATAACACTTCTTTTTTTTGGAAAAAAATAATGCAACATTAAGGGGAGGGTGCTTCAGAAAGTTTGCAGCTAAGAGGCTTACAACAGCACAAATACAGCCAAGTAAATAATAAAAACAATTAAATATATGAAAACTAACCGGCTTTATACAAATGTCAAAGAAACCATAACTTATTTAAAAATTCAGTCTTGGCAACTACACACTTAAGACATCAAAGCCTTAATTATTCATGTAGAAAAAAAACCTAAACTCACTTCTAAAGTAGCAGGTTAGTGCCCTACCATATTGCGCTGTAGCTTGAACACACTTAAGTCAGCTTGGAAATTAATCCTATAGCAATCCAAAGAGCATTTGCTACTCTTGAATCATTTTCCATTATTATTTTCCAATTATAAGGGTAAACTATACAGCCTTATAGTCCTGAATGGAAGCTATATAGAGCCAACCATATATAATATGTAGCACCAATTCCTATCTCTAGTTGGCGGCAAAAAACCCCAGGGGTCAAGATTAGATACTGTAGAGACTATGTAGTTTTGCATTACTGGAGTTTCCTAACCTGAGCACTATTGAGGCAAGAATTAAAAATGAAGTTATCGCCTTTCATAACGCTAAGTAATGTACCAACTACAACCATCTAGCATGTATTCCTTGTATCTTAATAATAATGCAAGAAACACACACACACACACACACACACATCAATATCTAGACTAATGTACCTCCAGCATGGTATATGAAAAAGCCCAAAGAAAAAGCTGCCTGCTGAATCTCTGGAAAATGAGGTATGTAACAGAATGAGGCTTTATTGTCCATTTAGTTTCACAGTCATGTTTTCTACATATAATATTGTGCAAGACTTAAAAGATACAAAATCAAGTGAGATAGTATTTATCTACCGGGGGAGTGTGAACCATATTTATCGAGCTGTGGTTTTAAATTTGCTCTCTTAACTACAGGTTGATTGATCTGACTCGATCAAAAGGAGTGACCCATCTTAGAGAAAGGACAATTTATCATTTAAAACAAGCCTTAAACTGAACCAAGATGAAAGTCAAGTATACGTCTTTCTTGAGGATCAAGGTTGCTCTAAGAATTGCCAGTTAGCAAATGCATTCTTAGATGCCTCAATACTACCTAGGGATGCAAAACAAAGAAAAGCAAACCTTCTAAGTTATTTCAAATATGAAAGTAGAAATATAATATAAAAAAGTTCTGGACTCTTTATTTTTCAATTCCACATGTTTTTATGGTAGATTCCCAAAAATAATTATTCTAGGACCACAAAGGGAGCTCAGTAGTGCAAACTTTCACATTACTCCAGAAACAAATGGAGCCAGACGTGCTTTGACACTGCTGAAGTGGAGGGTAGGGATATATTTTTGAGTTAACATCTCACCAACTTTATGCCAAGTTAGCAATAGTGGAAACAATAAATACATTAGTTTGCTGTACTGTTACAAGAAGGCCCAATATTACATACTCCCAAGAGCTACCCTATACCAATGCATCCCAATACATTTATCTGGAAGTTTATGGTCAACTATGTGGAACTGTTTTAAGCTACACTGCCAAAATTACAGGAGAGTGGACAAAACAAAGTGCCTTTAGCGGTTAACTTTCAAAGATGGAACTGTTTCCAAAAGGCCATTAAGACTATCTATATTTATATAGGAACCAGCAACATATAAGATATTTAAATAAAATAGGTGTCCACGCACAAAAGCAGCAAGTGTGTTTAAGACTCGAGACATCAATACTACCAACTTGCTTGCATAGCAGCTCCATTTGACCTATTTTGGACTTACAAGTATGAAAATTGTACTAGCACCATTGGGTTTTAGCCCTTTATGGAGTGACTAACATATTCAGCTGCTTTTGAACATCTACATTTAATTGGCAGAAATAGCTCTCCTAATACTAATGGAAGATTAAGGACCCCACTAAACTTAAAATTAAATCTACAGAAGAGAAGCAGTGTAGCCATCTGAAGAAGGGCAGCTCTCTCTCTCTCAAATGGGAACTTGTATTCTCTGGTGACTTTAAATCTATTTCTTTCAAGCTGCACGTCAGATTTTAGACAATCCTGAACACACTGTATGTTTCAATGAAGCCGTGAGGAGAAGGTGACATGATCTTTATAAGATACAAAACCCACAATTTCTCTCTGCAGATTTGAATGCACACTATTTATGTGCAGTTGTTCAGATTCAGATTTTTTTTTTTTAAAAAAAAAAAGCAAGCCAGAGGAAATCTGCAGTGAAAAATGGGTGGGGGAAAATCCAAAAGCAAGAATACAAACACTTCTAGCTGACAAAAGAAAATACTTCCAAATCTGTTATTTCTGCCAAAGGAAATGTTACAATGCACTTGGTTAAAGAAAAACCCAAACCTCCCATATTCACAATAATCTTACTTTGAATCTGTAAACAACTGCACATAAATAGTAATTATACATTCAAATTTGCAGAAAGATCTTGTGAGTTTTGTACTATGTAGAGATTATGTCACCTTTTCTTCATTGAAATACATGATTTGCCTGAATTTTCACAACTTACCGGAGTGTATAAACTTAAAATATTTCAGTACCATTTCAATAAATGGAAGAGGGCTGGGTAATTTTTTTTTTTATTTACTGTCACCAAATCGAAAATTGCAACCCATCGATATTGCCTCAGATTTTACCCGTATTTTAAACAAAAAATCACTTCAAGCTTGATCTCTTCACCTTCCCTATTCCTATTCTTGTTATAGTGCATAGTTACCCAATCCATCTACTCTTTCTTTTAGTCAAACTGTCACTCTAGAATATTATCAAATGAGAAAATGTTGATAATTGCACTTTGTAACCCATTCCATAATCTACAAGAAAACATCCACTAAAAACTTAAACTATTCCCTCTCCCCACTGCAACCTTTAAAGAGCACCCATTCCCACATGTACTGTATGTGTGTGTAATTATGGGAGTGTGTTCAGCTCACATTAAATACTGACGGGAATGATTTTTTTTCTTAAAAACAGATGTTTCTGATAGCAATGGAACACCAAAGTCACTAAGGCCTTTTACCAATGAAAGGGAGAGGGGAGAGGAGTCAAATAACTTTCTGAAGACACTGTGGATACAATTTAGCAACAACACATTCAAAATGACGTCCAAGATCCCAAAGCTTATCTGGAGTTTCATACACTTTCTGCCACTGGTCATTAGCTTCATCGTACTGATAAAGAGAATTTTTCCTGCTGGTTCTGAAGATGTGTTCTTCAACTGTGACTTGAGTAGCTCGAACAAACAAATGAAGTTTATTTTTCAAGACAACAAGTTTAATATATGGATTAATGGACTGATCACATGGGAAATCTTTCTTTCTAGTCCACTTGTTCAATTCAATGTCATAAGCCTCTACAGTAAACATACGTTGATGGTTTCCACAGGTTCCAGCAATGTAGTAGATAGAGTTATCGTAGACAGCTGCCAACCCCTGGATCCTAGGCACAGTCATCGGAGTTAAGAAACCCCAATAATCTTTTCGAGGATCATAGCAGAGGAAGAATTCTCCTAAGGGACAGAAAGGAAGGGAAACTAAAATGTAAAGAACTTGCCTTAAGACACTATTAAGCAACCTCCAAAGCAATGGATTAAGACTTCTACTTTCCTCAAAGCAACTGGCCCAACAATATTAAGAATAATTTCTAATGAACTATCAGATATTGGTGCATCATACAGAACATTAAGAGTTGTCCTAAAATATTTCTGCAAAACAATATGCAATACCAGAAAATATTTACTTACTTACTTACTTACTTACTTACTTACTTACTTACTTACTTACTTACTTACTTACTAACTTTGTATACTACCAAATCTTGTAACCCAGAAGCCTCTGAACCAGGGGTCTTCAAACTTGGCCCTTTTATGACTTGTGGACCTCAACTCCCAGAATTCCTCAGCCAGGCATGCTGGCTGAGGAATTCTGAGAGTTGAAGTCCACAAGACATAAAAGGGCCAAGTTTGAAGACCCCTGCTCTAAACCTACAAGGTTGTAAACCACACCTGTAATTTTGAGAACATTATAGACATACCTGAAATTGTGGACAAAGCCAATTCTAATACATTCACTCACTAGAAGGTAAACTATTTTATTTTCTGAAGGGATGTGTGTGTGTGTGTGTGTGTGTGTGTGTGTGTGTGTGTGTGTGTGTGTGTGTAGGAAGCTTAACATCTCTTAAGAGGACGTTCATAACTGGACCACTGTCACTACGAAGGCCTTACTTTTGGCTACCAATTGTGAGCCAAACTCACCAGTGGGTCCACAAGTAGAGTCTCTCAGCTCATTTTTATACATGAGTTTGATGGTACAGAGGGAGACAATATTTTAATTAACTGAGTCCTAGGCAAAACTGGAATTGTAGCTTACAGGAAACCAGTGCAGTGCATTGGACCCTTTCTTTAGCTATATCTGTTCTCTGTACCAGTAATAACGTTCCTCGTCATCTCCACATGACAAGTACATTGCAATAATAACCAATCATATAGTTATTAAGGCACGGACCACTAAGAATAGGCTATCTATGTTCAGGTAATATTGTAGCTGATGTATTAGCCGAAGCTAAGCATCAGCCCTTCTTGTTATTAAGGTCACCTATGCCTCTAATGACAAACTGGAATGAAAGGCAACCTCTATACCAATTCTTTCAGGTTGCACTACCTCATACAGTACTGACCAACTTCCCATTTCTGTGTCTGATGATTATTTGTACTTCCATTTTATCTATATTCAGCTGCAGTTTGTTATTCCTCATCATAGCTGCAGGCAACACTCAAGCACCAGTTCAACCCCTTCTGATCCATGTGGGAGGAAAAAGCCAGATCTGAATGTCATCTCTCACAGTTATATGCATTAAAGAGGAGTCAAAACAGCTATTCTCTGGTGATAGTCCTACACGTAGGAATGTTGACAAAGTACCTTCAATTTGAAACCCACTGAACCACTTCAGTAATATGCCATAACCAGATGTTGAGCAATTCAAGAGAGTCAACATAGTAACATTTCCCATGTCTCTCTTCTAAAATCAGGGCAACCAAAGCTTTTGCTATGTTATTTAGGCCTGAAGATGAATTGAAATGGATCAGAGAAATGTAGCTGACTAGCCATCCTTTTCAGCAACTTGCCCAGGAACAGAATATTTGCAACTGGATGGTTTGTTTACAGTAGTGGCCAAAATTGTGGAAACCTTTTGGGAAAAGTGTACAGTAGAAATGCCACCTTTGGTTACGTTTCCACCCATTTTTCTTCTAATTTATTTATAACTGTAGCCTTGTTCACTTAATAATACTATTTTACATCGCTTTCTGGGCAACCAGTCAGCTCTTTGCACCATTACTTTAATTTTATTATGTTTTACAAGCTCACTAAATGAAAGAACATAAAAAAAAACCCAACCAACTTGCTAGCGATCACATAACACACTGACAAATGTCCTCCTCTCAGCTTCAATACATGACATCAATAACTGAATCCTACTGTGATCTGATTGGCTCATTGCCAAAACAAGATGACACCTGATTGGCTCTCTAAACACTCCTGCTCATTGGCTACAATCAGATGAAGGAAAGCTGCCTGATATCAACCTAAGCAAGTTGTGCTTCCTTTTTCTGGTTATTTGGCTATAATTTTTCATAGAATACAATACGGATAATTGAACAAACTATGTTGCGTTACATTCTTGATTAAATTATCTTTCCACTGATATATAATTTTATGGTACTACTCCAAAAAAAGTGGTGTTATTAGCCATCAAACCTCAAAAATACACTTTTCCCAAAAGGTTTCCACAATTTTGACCACTACTGTACACTCTCAAGGTTCAGGGACAGGCTCTTCAAGGCAATTATGCAAACCTCAGGTTGAAAGGCAAGTGATTCCTCCCTGGAGGCATGCAAGCATACCTTTCCTCCTGGAACTTAGCAATCATATTGAATAAGGACCACAGATAGTTAGCCTATCCCTGTAAGTATCTGGCTGCAGTAAAGAAACTGATGTTACAATCGCCTAGCAGATGTGGTCCCAAAAACTCCCAGGAACAGCAGGAACGGTGGCAACAAATTTACAGCAGATACAGTCAAGTGCAAAAGAAAGTATATCTTCTTTTGAGTTCTATCATTTTACGTATCGGGACATACTAAAAATCATCTGGTCTTAAAAGTAGGAAAAGACAACCTCAGATGAACAACAACACATGACATATTGCACCATGTCATCATTTATTGTATGTACAAAAAGAAAGCAAAAATGGAGAAGCCATGTGTGAAAAACTAAGTATGCCCTTACTGCTTCCATTGGTATGAAAGGCTAAGTAGCAGCCAGGTGCTACTATCAAGTGCCCTTGATCATTTGATCATCAGCAAGTGAGACTACTTGTATAAAAGCCGAAGTTTTATACTTCCTATATAAAAGCCGAAGTTTTAGGCATTTCTAGCATTGTGGTGCCTGTTAACACAATGCCAAAGAAGAAAGACATCAGCAATGATCTTAGAAAAGCAACTGTTGCTGCCCATCAATCTGGGAAGGGTTATAAGGCCATTTCCAAACAATTTAAAGTCCATCGTTCTACAGTGGTTGCCGGTGGCCTTCCGGGTGCGCTTCAAGGTGTTGGTGGCCTTCCGGGTGCACTTCAAGGTGTTGGTCATCATCTTCAAAGCGCTCCATGGCATCGGACCTGGATATCTCCGAGACCGCCTTCTGCCGCAGATTACCTCCCATCGGCCGGTACGCTCCCACAGAGTGGGTCTCCTCAGGGTGCCGTCAGCTAGACAGTGCCGGCTGGCGACCCCCAGGGGGAGGGCCTTCTCGGTGGGAGCCCCCACCCTCTGGAACGAACTACCCCCAGAGATCCGGGTGATCCCGGATCTCCCCTCCTTCCGCCGCGCCCTAAAGACATGGCTTTTCCAACAAGCGGGATTGGCCTAGGGAATTTTAGTAGGGTTTTTAAGGGAAATTTTAATTATTAGGCCATTGCAAATATTTCCTTTTAATCTGGTTTTAAATTGGTATTTACTGTAATATTGGTTTTATAAGGCTGTCAGCCGCCCTGAGTCCGGTAAGGAGAAGGGCGGGATACAAATCAAATAAATAAATAAATAAATAAATAAATAAATAAATAAATAAATAAACAGTGGAAAACATTCAAGATAGCTGCCAATTTTCCCAGGAGTGGACATCCCAGAAAATTCACCCCAAGGTAGACCGTGCAATGCTCAGAGAAATTGCAAAAAAAAAAATGCAAGATTCTATAGGCCTCAGCATATTAAATGTTGACGTTCATGACAGTGTAATTAGAAAAAGACTGAACAAGTATGGCTTGTTTGGAAGAGTTGCCAGGAGAAAACCTCTTCTCTCTAAAAAGAACATGGCAGCACAGCACAGATTTGCAAAATTGTATCTGAACACATCACAAAGACTTCTGGAACACTCTCCTTTGTACAGACAAGACCAAAGGAGATGTCTGGTTATAATGCAGAGTGCCACATTTGGCAAAAACCAAACACAGCATATCAGCACAAACGTCTCATACTAACCATCAAGCACGGTGGTGGAGGGGCGATAATTTGGGCTCGTTTTGTAGACACAGGACCTGGGCATCTTGCAATCATTGAGTCGACCATGAACTCCTCTGTATATCAAAGTACTCCAGAGTCAAATGTGAGGTCATCTGTCTGACAGTTAAAGCTGGGCAGACATTGGCTCATGCAACAGGACAATGATGCCAAGCACACCAGCAAATCTACAATAGAATGTCTGAAAAAGAAAAGAATTAAGGGGTTGCAATGGTCCAGTCAAAGTCCAGACCTCAACTGGATTGAAATGCTGTGGCGGGACCGTAAGAGAGTTATGTGGGCATAAACAAATGCCCACAAATCTCAATGAACTGAAACAATGTTGTAAAGAAGAGCCAAAATTCCTCTACAGTGATGTGAGAGACTGATAAAAGTCATACAGAAAAAGATTACAAGTTATTGCTGCCAAAGGTTCTACAGGCTATTGAATCATAAGGTGTACTTAGTTTTTCACACATGGCTTCTCCGTTTTTGCTTTCTTTTTGTAAATAAAAAAAAATGACATGGTGTAATATGCCATGTACTGTTGTTCATTTGAAGTTGTACTTACCTATTTTTCGAAACTGCTAAGGACCAGATGATTTTTACTATGTCCCGATACTCAAAACCATATAACTCAAAGAGGGTGTACTTTCTTTTTCATATAATTGTATGTTCAGTTCTTTTCTCTAAATGCCTGACAAATCTATCACAACTGGCTACTGCATGGTCAGTCAAACCTTTCTAAGGACAAAATTTATGTAGCCTGATCATAAAATGAGAAATGGGGGTGATGTGAATGCAATGATGATAGAGAAGCAAGACTTCTTCCCCACTACAGAAAAGTTTAAATGCTGACCTGAATTCTATTGAATTCACTATAAGATCCATGCTTTAACACTCAAAATTGGTCAGTAAAGTGAGAAGAAAGAGTAGCAGCAGTTTCACAAAATTTGGTTTATAAATTATCTACATATTGTTCATTAAAAGGTTAACAAATAGCAATAGCACTTAGACTTAATATACTGCTTCATAACGCTTTACAACTCTCAGAGCAGTTTACAACGTCATCATATTGCCCCCAACAATCTGGGTCCTCATTTTACTGACCTTGGAAGGATGGAAGGCCGAGTCAACCTTGAGTCGATCAGAATTGAACTCCTGCAAATGCTACCACGGCTCATCAAAATAAATATTATATCCATAAACTTTTAAAATTCCAATCCCATTGGAAACATCCACCAGTTTTATTAAAAACAAGTAGCTCCCCACTGAAAACATAAAGTAATGAAGGGCAGAGTCCTTACATAATCCTGTCTTTAGATCCTTCTAAAATTTAGTTTTAAAATTAGTGTAAGCTGTATACTTAAAAACCACTCTAAGATACCTTGTATAACATCAATGCATTTCACATCTGTATCAAGTCACATTTTTTTAGAAAAATAATTAAGATACTTATGCATATTCACAGGAACCTTCAACTTTATTGTATTCTATATTTACCTTACATCACATTAAATCTCTTATAGCCTGTTCTGCTAACATTTAACTAAACATAATAAATATTCACTTCTCTAGGGAGAATATATTGGTTCCAGACATGCAACTGCTAAATCCAGAACCCATATTATTCAGCAGACCCTAGCTTTAAGTGTATCATTTTTGTACTTCTACAGAAAAGTTGGCACCTGTACCCAAGCCAACTATCACCTATTCAACACATCTGGAAGTTAATAATTTGGGGAGGATGAATCAGGATGAAGTATTCACTGGAAACCTTTCCATTTATTGTGCAAACAGCATTAAAAAGTTTGGTACAAACAACAGAGAACAAAATAATAGTTCAGCTGTAAAAATAAACTTTTATCTCCTTTGGTTTACTGACTTCATGAAAGCTGAGTACTGATATTATCACAACAACTGCAATTTTTATATCGTGTCTTTTAAGATACAAATCAAGTAGTTTAAAGCAATACTTTAGAATGTTTCCCACACCTTAATTAATGGTAATAACCGTGTGAGTAGAAAAGGAGTCCAGCAGAAGCAGGCTTCTAAGATGTCTTTAGATTCAAATGTTCATGTGAAAGTGTTTGCAAACCAAATATGCAAGCTTTCAAGCACATTTTTAAAACAAAAACAAATGGAAGACTGTTGGACAAGCTCAACTAGGAATATGGTATGAGGATGAGGAGGACATTTATCTCCCATCTTCACCATAGTTCTATTGGGATTCAGTCCTGACTGCTATTCACAATTGAAGGAAATATTAACTGGTGCCAAATAGGAGCTTTCTTTTTATGCAAATAGGTGCTATGTATATGTAGGTGTGTGGGGAATGGGATTAATACTCTTTGTATCAGAATCCTGAAATTGTGTGAGCTTCTTTCTCACTCCCCTCTCTTTTTATTGCCAATGACTAAGTATATCTGACCTTCAATAATACAAACCGTGGACTATTGGCTCAAACTGTACTGGTTGGGGAATTCTGAAAATTGCCTAAAAGACCTCTTAAAGTTGCTAAGGTTGAAAAACACTGGTCCAAAAATTAGGAAATTTGGAAAGAAAAAAAAGGATGGACGATGGAATAGCACTTTCTAAAGTAGTACTTAAAGTAGTTTAAAGTAATACCTTTAAATAGCATTCAATTATACTTCTGTCAGTGGCTGTCCATATCAACTACAGAGTGTAAATAATTCCTGTTGTAGGTTATATCAGAACATCTCAACAGCATGCAAAAATATTATCACGTACAAGTGATATATGCACTATAGCAGGGGTGTCAAACTCAATTTCATTGAGAGCCGCATCAGCATTGTGGTTGCCCTTGGGGGGGGCGGTGTGTGTGTGGCCAGGGTGGGTGCGGCCTACTGGGTGGGCATGGCCAGCTCTACATTGTTCACGTCAAGGGGGCCTGTGGGGACCTGGGCAGGAGTGGGATAGATCTGAGGGTCTCTGGCAGAAGGGGGTGGGATCGGGGCAAACACCAAGGCATGGTCCATTTCTTCATTCCTCACAAAGGGTGACACCTCCCCAGCATGCACCCAGGAGGCGGGGCCGACACAGCAGGGACTGGTTCCTCGCTGTTTCCAGACAGCCTTGTGGAGCTAAGACTGAATGTGTTTCAGCATAAATTGCCACCACAAAATTCTACATTGGCTCCCGGCCAGCCTGGGCCAGGGCCAAGGCAGCGGGGGCCGTTCCCTCACTGTTTCCAGGATAGCTTCACGGGCCACATGAAACCACTTTGCAGGCCGCATCCGGCCCCCGGACCTTGTGTTTGACATTTCTGCACTATAGCATAATTTAGCTCTGCCTATACTATAGGATATGAATAGGATCATCCATCCTCTATGGTACAATTAGCTGGGAAACTACCAGCAACAAATTACTCTCTTCCAATACTTCAATTGTCAGTGCTAACTTCAAATCTCACCATATCCCCACACAAAGCATCTTACCCTGTAAAACATAGATACTGTCTTTATATTCCACAGCATTATGAAACTCCATTGCTACAGGCATCGGACAGACAGCTGTCCAGCAGTTCTCTCGGCCATCATAACATTCCACGGATTTCAGGGAGTTGCGCCCATCTCCTTCATAAACTCGACCGCCTATTGCGTACAGTTTACCACAGCAATGAACCAGTTTGCAACCTATCCGGGCACGAAGCAGCGGAGCTTTAGGGATCCATTTATTGCCGGAGTGATCGTACATCCAAAAATCACTTTCTGCTCGGTGGTCTATGGAAACCTCACTGCTGCTCGGTCTGTATCCTCCAGCAATATAAATGTCATTGTCAGGCGAGACAAGAATCCCAACTTCTCTTAAATCATTAGGCGGTTTGCATAGTTTGAAAACTCTCCCTGTAATGGAGTCTAAACAAGGCACTGTTTGTTTCTTTCCTGAGTGTTTGTGGGCAGCATCAAAGCAGATGATCATTTCTGAAGCAGTCATTCCAAGCCTCTGGGTATAGCCATTGGCACCGTTTTGTCCTTTCTCTACACAGTTTTGGGCTATAGCCTGTGCAAACATGGGAGGGATTTTCTCTATGAATGCTTCATCCAGTAGGGGCAGACGAATGCATTTGGCAAAAATTTCTGGCAGATGGTCCTCTCTTTTACTAGGCTCATGCTCAAACCATCTTATAATGCTTTCGTAGACATGCTCTTCTTTATCAACATTTAAGTCGTTGCTGTCCAATATGCTTACAAGTTGGTCTTTCCTCAAGTGGAGAAACTCTTGTTCTTTGGTGACACTCAGGAACTTTTTACGAATGTAATCTTGCGATCTGATTTTCAATTCCTGATGTCCGTAGTGATCAGCAAAAATAAACACCCCGATGGAGTTCTGTGGGTCCAAGTGACTGATCATGTATTTAGCACACTGGTCCTGAATGGAAGGGATCTGGAAGATACTAGCTGCAGTGAACAAAGCTTGGACGTTGGCCTCTGTCAATGTTATTTTGGAGGTATATGCGTAGTTTAGTACTAAATGCATGGATTCTGCTTCAACACCAACAATCCGAACCTCTTTCTGGGTACTCTCAGTAAGGCCACTAGTGAACATAGATCTATAAAATGGGGATATGCACACAATTAATAAAAACTACAATTAACATATCAACCATCATTTCAACTTTGCTATTAATACTCAGACTTATTTTTCTTTACCAAACACATTAGAGTTTAAATCAGTCAGCAGAATCCTGACTTTGTTAAGATCTTACCATTAGAGTTTTAACACCTTTATATTAGTTGAGAGTTACAGAACACTTGCTTATATGCATGCTACTGCTAAAAAATAAGGATTGCAACATGGATAATCAAAATGCCTAAGAGAGAACTGCCTACACTGTCTGGATTGTCTATGTACCTGTTCTCAACAATCCAGACTAAAATGTTTGCTGCTCCTGCAGCAATAAATTCAGTGTTTTCTTACATTTTGGATACAATGGAAACAAAATTTCAGAAAAGTTATATCATGATTATCTGAAGAGTTGTTATTAGCAACTGGCTTATCTATACCACAAAGCACAGATTTGGCTTGGTGAAAGTTGTGCAGAATACTTGAACAAGAAAGTAACTTTTTTAACCCTGAAGAATTAAGCCACAACCCTAGAAAGATTTGCCAACATAAGTCCCACTGAACTCTAAAGAGGCTTCTAATGAGATATGTATAGGATTATAATACAGGTGTTGAAGTAAACAAACACCATAGTTCAGGGGTGTCAAACTCACAACATCATGTGACATGTTGCGACGTGTCATGACTTTTTTGCCATTGCCGGTAATGGGGTGGGCGTGGTTTCGCTATGATGCATCCGGCCCACGGGCCGACAGTTTGACAGCCCAGTCATAGTTTTAACAGGTTGGGAGAAGTTTTTATGTATAGTACGGAATAATTTATATTATTTAAAAGCAACTATTCAACTATTTTTTCTTTCTTGAAGTGACTCCAAAATAGGCAGTGTTGGGTTTTGGGGTTTAGTAACTGTGGTCTGACAGCAGATTTCCTGATATTTTTCTGGTTACTGTGGCGGGCATCTTCAGAAGAAATTGGCTGTCACTAAACCCTGTAGCTCAACATTGCCCAATAAATACAACTGTGAAAGCCTATTCCAGTATAGACTTCCTATTGCTGTGAACTCAGAAGTATGTGGGATTAAATTATGGAAACATATTACATCTACATTAATATTCCTTGTAAAAATATGTTTTTGCGGGAGGTGCTATCATGGATGATTCAGATTTTAAAAAATCCCCATTATTTAACAGAACAATAGAGTTAGACGGGACCTTGGAGGTCCTATACCATTTCAGACAAATGGCTGTCCAGTTTCTTCTTAAAAATCTCCAGTGTTGGAGCACCCACAATTTTGGTAGCAAGTTGTTCCACTATTTAATTGTTCTTGCTGTCAGGACATTTCTCCTTAGTTCTTGGTTGGTTATCTGCTTGATTAGTTTTCATCCATTGCTTCTTGTTCTCCCTTCAGGTGCTTTGGTAAGATAAACTATCTTGCTTTAGAAAAAAGTTTTTGGCATCAACCCAAAAGGGCATCCATTCACAAGAAAATCACTCAGGCATTTGACATACCAATATGTGCTGTGGCATTACTTGTGGCAACTGTTTCGATCGTTTTATAGATTTTATTATTCTTACGCTGTGTTTAATGCATATCTGCAGTTAGTATCGAAATGTAATAAAGGAAAATATTTGTAGCTCAGAGTTGATATGAGGAGTCCTTGCTTCTCCCTGGGCTTGCTTGTTTTCTTGCAGACGTTTCATTACCCAAACTAGGTAACATTATCAGACTGATGATGTTACCTAGTCTGGGGAATGAAACGTCTGCAAGAAAACAAGCAAGCCCAGGGAGAAGCAAGGACTCCTCAGAAATGGAACTCTTCATCTCTCCCCTTACGGAGAGAACAGTAATTCGGGTAAGAATTTATGTTGCTAAGTTATGTGGTCATAAAGCATGATATCACATAACTGCATCATGCAGTGAAGGCAATCCCAAAACTACCTACTGCTGTCACTAACCAAATTCCTGAAGACCCATCCCATACAAGCCATTCCAGCCTTGGTCCCTCTCAACTCCTGCCTCGGTTCTTCCAAGGTAAGGGACTGCTTCCTCTTCCCCCCCAACAATTATTCCTTCCCCTCCCCCCGCAAAGCTCCAGTGCTGCTTATTATGCTGTGGTTCAGGGACATGCCCCTTCTGCTAGCACAGGTGGTGTAGTAGACCAATTCTATTGGAGTGAGCCAGTTCCATATATTTATATTTCCAAATATATTTATAGGTGTCCAACAATTCTTTTAGAACAGAAGCTTGCATTTGCACCTTCCCAGCTCCAAGTGCCTGCCAGCATGAGCTCTGCTTTGGCTTACCCCTTTCTTTTCTCTTTCTCGCAAAGGAGGCATAATTCACATTAGCTTTTGCTATTCCTGGCCTTTTCCAGAGAAGGTGCCTGCAAGTGCCAGAGTAATGGTGATGCCAAAGGCATAACTAGAAGACCCACAGATCTGATTAATGTACTGGATCAGATCTAAAGAAAAGACACTTTCAACTCAATAACCAACTATATGGCAAGAGGTTCACATTAATCTCAAAAACTGTTTCCTGTGGCTGCATTGGGAAACATAAGCTCATTAAATGCTATTTATTCTTTGCTTATCTATTCTGTTATATTTGAGTTTTAAACAATCAATTGTAATTTCTAACAACTTTCTGAGCTGGGAAAGGGGAATAGTGATTTGCAAAATTATGCAAAATTCTGTCATGTTATAAAACACGTGAAAAGCAATTTAAAATACATGTGATCCAACTTCTGCAAGTTGTCACAAATTTTAGAAATATCCAAGATGCCTTGCAAATAAGTTTGGAAAAATAATTATAGACCCTGAAAATTCAGAAGTCAAGGAATGAAGCAGTTAATAATAGCCAAACTATTCTAACAGCTTTAATTCCTACATTGTTGTAAATAAAAGAATGCTAGTATATGCTAGATCAGACTATTTAAATGAATTAATCTGTTGCCCATTCTCTCTCTCACAAACACACATATGCATACCAGAACAAAAATACTTCACGTACAATACACATAATACACTAAAAATAAAATATTATATACCTAAAGTAAGGACTGATTGCAGCAAGGACATTTCGATGACAGGAAAATGTTTTCCCATGATCCACTTCTACCACAATATCTGTCAGTTGTCCTTCATCGTACATCATTTTGAGCTGTTGGAGAATGCTACAAGCATGAGAGGGATCCATCCCACCAATGGCTATGCTTGAAGAAGGAGTTCCATACAATGTTTGGGTAAATTTGCTTTGTTCTGGTGAAAAATTGAAATAAATGAACTTGAGAAAGAATGGCACATATTATGATCGATTCCCATGGTTCAAGACGTGAACCGTATTTCATTAGATGCGAATGCTGGAAAATATTCTGTATACCGACAAAAGTAGAGATATCTTCCCAAACTTTGCCAAATAACACCTCGCACCCTAAGTATTTGTTTAAAAAAAATTCTCTGCACAATTCAAATTTCTGAATTTTGCAAAAGAAAACAAAAACAAAAAAAAAACATCAGTACAATGCTAGGATATCTCTCTACTTGGAAAAATCTTATTTTTATCATTCTGCAAACAATAAAAAAACAAGAAATATTATATTTGAGGACAGTTACATTATTTTAATATCCAATTATTTTAGATTATATTTTTTCTATACTTTTTATTCTCTTGCTCTTATATATTGTTTTGACTTGCAACTCTTTCCCATAACAGAGTAAAACTAACTGAATTGGGAGGGACCTTGAAGGTCTTCTAGTCCAAACCCCTGCTCAAACAGGAAAACTTATACCAGTTCAGACAAATGGTGTCCAATCCCTTCTTAAAAACCTCCAGTGTTGGAACATCTACAACCTCTGGAGACAAGTTGTTCCACTGATTAAATGTTCTGTCAGGAAATTTTCCTTAGTTCTGGATTGGTTGTCTCCTTGATTAGTTTCCATCCATTGTTCTTGTCCTGAGCTCAGGTGCTTTGGAAAATAGGTTGACTTCCTCTTCTTTGTGGCAAATCCTTAGATATTGGAGCACTGCTATCGTGTCACCCTTAGTCCTTCTTTTCATTAAACTACACATATCCAATTTCAGCAACCGTTCTTTATATTTTAGCCTCCAGTCCCCTAATCATCTTTGTTGCTGTTAAAGAGTCTCAACATCTTTTTTTATATTGTGGCAACCAAAACTGAATGCAATATTCCAAGTGTAGTCTTATCAAGATGTTATCAAGTGATAATAATACTTCATATGATCTTGATTCTACCTCTCTATTAATGCACCCTAGGACTGTGCTGGATTTTTTGGCAGCTGCAGCATGGCTCATATTTAAGTGATTGCCTACTAGGATTCCTGTCCACCTAGCAATTTGAAAGCATGCAAATGCAAGTAGATTAACTGGTACCATTTCGGTGGGAAGGTAACAGTGTTCAATGTGCCTTTGGCATATAGCCATGCTGACCACATGACCACAGAAAAGGGTGGACAGCGCTGGCTTCCTTGGCCAAGAAATGGAGATGAGCTCCACAAGATGGACACACCTAGACAGGGAAACGTTTATCTTTAACATTTTACCAGTAGGACTCCAAGATCCCTGTCAGTTACTACTGGTGATCCAGGTATTGCGTATTCTGTACCCATATATTTGCGTGGTTTTTTTTTGCCTAAATATAGAACCTTACTTTTCTCACCATTGAATTTTATTTTGTTAGATAAGGCCCAGTGTTCAAGTCTGTCAAGATTCGTCTGTATCTTGAGTTTATCTTCTGGAGTGTTGGCTATTTCTGCCAGCTTGATGAATTCCTCTTCTATCTGCTCATCTAAATCATTTATGAAGATATTGAAGAGTACTGGGCCTAAGACAAAGCTTTGAGGTGCCCCCTGCATACTTCCCTGCATGTAGATGCAGTTTTATTAATGACTACATGTTGAGTTCAGATGGTCAGGCAATTATGACTCCATCTGATGATGGTATCTAACCCACATTTTTCTATCTTATCAAGTATACCTTGTGGTCTATTTTACAAATGCCTTACTGAAGGCCAAGTAAATCATATCCACAGCATTTTGCTGGTCCATTAATTTTGTCACATTGTCAAAGAATACAATAAGTTCACCTATTTTATCAGACGAGTATCTTATTGATGCTACAACTTTTAGGCTTGAAGCAGTAGGATGCATATGAGAAAACTAGTAAAAAATGAGGTATAGTAGTAAATGTCAAAATCTTTTCTTGATAAAATATCAATCTGTTTCAACTTTAGACTTCAGCTTTGAGATCTGAGTATGTCTTTAAAGCAGTGTTTCTCAACCTTGACAATTTTAAGGCATGTGGACTTCAACTCCCAGAATTCCACAGCCAGCAAAGCTGGCTGTGGAATTCTGGGAGTTGAAGTCCACATGCCTTAAAATTGTCAAGGTTGAGAAACACTGCTTTAAAGCAACTATTTCTGTAATTATACAGGAGTGTATGTGGGGGGAATGCTTGATTTTCTTCTGTCTCCATAGAAGAGTGATAACGTATTGTTTGTTTAGTTAATTCTGGCTGATAAGAGCTACCAGAGGAAGTCTTAACTAATTGGATCAGCAGCTCCCAATCCTTTCTATACCTCGCAACCCTAGAATGCTTCTGATATATTCTCACACCCCTTACAAAAGTTCGAAATAATGGCAACAAATTATGCATATACACTATAATTTACCAACATTTATTACTATAAACCTATTAATAGGTCCAGTGTTTCTATATTTACAGTATTTTGTTTTTACTGAAATAATCAACATGCCATATGAATCCTCAGTAATCAAAGTACTAATTTTCAGTAGAGTCAAGACTAATTGGAAGAGGAAGTAGCATACTGATGTTGGGAGATAAATAAATAAATCTCCCTTTGACTTAATGTAAAATGAAGCACGTTCAAAAAGTACCTAGAAACTAGAATTTGACAAGGAACTCATCATACTGCAGATTTATTGGATGGCTTAGCTTTATTGAAATTCTTTCAGAATACTGTGATCTTTCTCTATTTGCTCATCTATTACTCAGTGTAAAAGGATTTCCAAGTGACTTTTTAAAACCAACAATACACTTCAGCTCCACATTATAATGACTTGAGACAATTAAAAACAAAGAAAATGATGATTCTCATGGGTAACTCATAAGTATTAGGGGCCAACAATTATCTAATCTATATTTGTTTATAATAAATTTTACATACCACTATTTCCTGAGACACAAAGCATTCTTAGGAAAGAGGTGGTCAAATAATAACCAAAATAACATAGAAAGTATAAGGTATATAACAGATAAACAACATGAAAATGCAAATAAAACTGCAAAACTAACGAACAGTAATCACGACATCATTAGCAGCCAAATATTTTGTGAAGTAATAGGTTCTTAACTGTCCTCCTAAAGGCCAACAGGACAGTGACACTCTATACTCCAAAATACAATGTGTTTCAGAGTTTGGAGGCAACTACAGAGAAAATTCATCACTAAAACCCCGACTCCTTAATGGCACCCTCAAAATGTCCTTATATATTGATTTACTGATATTTTCTGTCTTGCTCAACAGAAATGCTTGGTGGAAATTGCAGGCTAATTAGATGGCCACTTGGTCTAATCCTGCAGGATTCCCTTTATTTTCTATACTTCAATTTTAAATGTTTTTTTCCAAATAAATATTTCCATCCAAATTTTCTTTATCAATGCTTGTGAAAATACTGAAGTGGTAATCACAAAGGTGCTTTTTTAGGAGGCAACTGGACTTTCTTGTTTTTCTTTGAAGACATTTTGCTTCTCATTCAAGAAGCTTCTTCAGCCCTGACTGGATGGTGGGGAATAGATGGATTTATATCCTTCCATTCCCCACCATCCAGTCAGAGCTGAAAAAGCTTCTTGGATGAGAAGCAAAATGTCTTCAAAGAAAAAACAAGAAAGTCCATTTGTCTCCTGAAAAAGCACCTTTGGGACAACCATGACCTGAATGATTGAGAATCTCCATAGATACATTCAGCTTTTTGGGATCAATTATCAACAGTAAAAGAAGCAGTACTTCAGAAATATGCTACAAAGTACAAATATTCTACAAAGTAGCGATGAAGACCTTGTAAAAGTCATGTCTACACCTACAAAAATCAAAATCGTGCAATGTTGGTTTTTTTTCTGTGACACTTTATGGACATGAAAGTTGGAAGAAGTGGAATAAAAAGAGTGTTGAAGACTCCCAAGAATGGATGGCTGTCCTCTCCCCCTAAATTCAAACAAATAGATCACAGAACAAAATTAATCCAGAGTTCTCACTTGAGACACAAATGATCAGCTCAAACCACCTTATTTGGGACACTTCATGTAAAGGCCTAGCTTTCCTGAAAAGTCTATATCTGAGCCATACATTTTCTATGTTCTTTGACAATGTGCTCTTAAACCCTAAAGGGCATCTCACAAGTGGCTGATACAAGAAACAAAGAAGAGCCTATTCTGTTTGCACAGAACACAACAGGATTGCTGAAAGTCACCCAGTAAGAACTTACAAAATACCAAGATGTTGCATTTGACAATGATTATCATTCCTTTATTGAAGATGGATAGATAAATTCACTTATGTCAAAAGAAGGACTTAAAACTTCTGTCTTCCGTCCCATCTTTAAAACCAAGTCCGTGCTCTTGGCACTCCAAAAAATGCTCAAATCCACATATCCAATTGGATCCACATATTCAGTTTTCTAAAATAAGAATAGGGCTGTACTCCTCCTAAAAGAAGGAAGCTATCATTCTGGGTGTGCTGTTGATCCTCATCTATCCTCATCTATTAGTCAACTTGCAGGAGTAGTTTTAACAAGAATCATGTATGATGTGAACTGGTAAAATACAGTAAGCATTATTCATGCAGTGTGCTCTATAAAGGCATATCCCAGGAAAATGTTCCAAACAATGCAGCAACTAGGCTGCAACATGCAAGGGATCATATACCTATATGGAAAGAACTGTACAGACTATCAAATATTTCTTGGCATCATTTAAAACAATTGGCATTAACTTTTAAGGCCTCATGTGAGTCAAGAGGGCTTTATTTTGCATTACTCAGAGAACATGGAATACTTTCATTTGGGAGAATTTAGAATATATTTTTGCCAACAGATAAATGGTTAATTAATTTTAGTGTGAATTTTATGACTTTGCTTTTTTATTTATTCGTTAGCCTTGAATATGCAACATAGATGATAAAATAATAACAAAATAATACATCAACCCTTAGCACATCACCAGAAAGAACACCAAGCTTAGACATATTTCAGAACTTCTGGCAAAATGGCAATCAAGCAGTATTTCAATATAAAACCTGTTTTGGTGGTAATAAAGAAGCCAGTATTCCAAGAGAAGACAGATGATGTGCTTGAGTATTTTACAAATCAGGTTCTGCTGCTTTTTAATTTAGAACATACATTCTGGTAATAATATACATAAAGGCAAGACACTCTCAGGTGAAGCTCAACTCCTGGCGACTGTAATTTTTGTAGCAATTTTATGTTATGGAGATTTCAGTAAGAAAGTCTTTTAGTAGGAAGTTTTTCTTAATGAAAAAACAAGAATAAAAAAAGAAAAGAAAAAGTCCAGTATCGACCTACTTGTTGCAACAAGAAAGGCTAGAATGGCTTTTTAGTGGGAGTATTTTATACTTTACCAGTTTGCCTTTTGGAATTGCATAGAATGCCTAAGAAATGTGCGAAATAGTAAGCTTTTCATACTCTCATTTTTGGCATTCTATCAAATGTATAATTTTACACACCGATGGTGATACGCAGGGAAGTCTGGGATTAAGAGGCCAGGATGGAGTTACGGAGCGTGGGATAGAAGAGGAGGCACAATGCCACCAATCTCCACTCTTTTTTATTGCCCCATGTGTCTTCAGAACAAAATCCAACTTCTCTCTTAACTCCCCTACCATTTGTAAATTGTGAGATAAAAAGGAGTGTAGGGATGGCCTGGATCTCTCCTTAACTTCCTGGTTTCAAACATGATCTAATCCTCTTGAAACTCCCCATCAGAGAACATGGCTTCTAAATTAGCATTTCACTTTGTATCTCTGAGGACAGGCCGTTCCAAAATAAAGGCCTTCTCTTTCAAAATGACTGTATTTTCATCTAGGGAGAGGAACCTGTGGCTTGCCCTGTTACTGAACTACAACTTCTGGCAACCTTCACCACCAGCCAGCCATGTTGGCAACGCGTTCTCCCAGCTGCAGTTTTTGTCCTCTACCCAAATTTAACAAATTGGAATAAAAAAGGGAAGGCACCCTCCTTCTTGAGCACCTACCCAGGACCAAGTGCTGGGCAAAACAGACTCCCAGCAGACTTCCTCGGAGATAGGGTTTCTAGTCCTCATTGGAGAGTCGCTGGCTATGAAAGTCTGCAAGAAAGGCCGGCTTACTTTTGAAGGAACCTCTGATCTGTAGCATTTCTTTCTCTGGATGACAGCAGCTGTTACGCTCACCTAAAACGCCCCCACCCACCCACGGAAGTATTATGATAAAAGCCAACGGCGACCACCTTTCATGCCTCTATATTGAGGGGGGGGGGAAATAGGGGTTTTTTTGGGGGGGGGGTTTAAGTATCATTAACATGAGCTTGAAAGACAAGAGCAAAGCACCCGACCTCCCTCACTCTAGCCACCTCTCCCCAGCTGTGGGACACCCCACAAAGAGGGTCGCTCAGGTTCCCACAAGAGGCATATCCGCCCGGCTCTCTTCCTCTTCCTCCTCCTCCTCCTCCTCCTCCCGAGGCCCCATCCGGCAAGGCCTCGAAAGCCCCTCACCGCCCCCTTCCCCAACCGCCCGGAGGCTCCAGACCGCCGTGCCCACCTCCTGTGGCAGCCATGCTGCAGGGAGGGGAAGGCGGGCCTCAGAGAGTCTGCCGCTACCGGAGGAGACCGCCGCGGCTCCCGCCTTTCCACCTCCGTCGGCCGCAGAAAACGTTGCCGCCGCCGCCGCCGCCGCCGCCACTGAGCCTTTCGGTCGGCTCGCCGAAGAACGCCCCGCAGCGCCAGCGAGCCGGGATTGGCGAGCGGCTCGTGCGATGTATGCTGGGAATTGTAGTTTTTCCTTTAGCCCCTCCCTCTCCCCTCCGAGGTCCAGATGTCAACGTCCCGCGAATTGCACGCTGGGTGTTGTGGTCCGTTCAGGGCAAGCTTCTCTCCGTCAATGAATGCTCTGTTTCGCATGGCTGTGATTTCGCTCTGCTGCTGAAATCTCCATTTAGGACAGTGCTTAGGACGGGAGAGACATGTCTGCCTCAAGAGGAAAGGGAAGAGGATGAGGTCTGGGATGTGCTGTGTCTCTTCTTTGTCTCTGGCCGTGCTAGCTGCATCATGAGAAGCACCAGGTTGTCTTCCACAAATAAGGGAGGACTGGGTGAGGGGGGCTCACCCAGAATGTACATGGACCAGACCCAGAATTAAATTGAAGAGGTTTTTTGGAGACCGGGGATTGGGTGGGCTAGCCAATGTTGCACTGTGCCCTCCATGGTATTCAGATTTAGGTAATGGGTTATTGCTTGGGTGGCAGCCAAGTGTCCAGTAGACGGTGTGTGTGTGGGGGGGGGGTGTCTCCATACTTGACAATTTTAAGAATCGTGGACTTCAATTTCTAGAACTCCTTAACCAGTCATGCTGGATTGGGGAATGCTGGGAGCTGAAGTCCACAACTCTTAAAAGTTGTCAAGGTTGGAGACCCCTGCACTAGACCATTCATTGGCCGTTCATTGACACAAATGGGTATCTCATAAGTACTTAGCTAAACATAAAACCATAGAGGAGTCTCCAAGGAACTTCTTTAGCTTTCCCCAATCAGATATCTTGAAGTTCAGCTACCATAATTTCAACTCAGCCCACTCAGCAGGAGTTGAAATCTTACACATTTGAAGGGCATAAGTTGGGAAACCTCTTTTAATCTATCTGATGACTCTTTACTGTATCTGTGAAGAGCAATGATTAAACCAATTACATAGCAGTCCTACTTCTTATAATAGAAATCCAATCAGTATATTCAAAACAGAAATCATAGCACATGTCACTCAATAAAAAGATGTGACCATTATGCATTAGGACAATGTAAAGCCTTGAAGAGATGCTTCAATTTTGACAAAGATGTCTTTGAATGACTGCATCAAAAAGATTCATGGATCAAAGTTCAATAGACTAGTGAATTGAATCAGATGACTGCAAAGCCTCTTACAACTTCAATAAATAATTTGATTCTGGGATTGTAAAAACAGCATACAACATTGCAACTTTACTTCTTTATTTGAGGAATGCTGGAGTTGAGTTATCAGATACAGATATGAGTTGCCAGCTAATGAATTTTATTTTCCAAACAAACCCAGATTATAAGGTTCTTCAATCTTGTTATGGAATTAAGTTTTGTCAATAAAACCTGTCCATCCAGTTAAATCCACCGAGATCATTCCTAGAAAGAGAAATGTTCTACTAACTAAGCTAATTCTCTAGTCAACCCTGAAACCCAGAGGCAGAAAAAATACATCACTCCACAAAAGAAAGTCAAGTGAGGTTTTTTCCATTGGCACATAAGCTTGGTCTCTTAGAAAGACATTTGTGTGTGTGTGAAATCTACACTCTAAACCAGTGTTTCTCAAACTTGGCAACTTTAAGATGTGTAGACTTTAACTCCCAGAATTTTGTTCTAAATCATTTTTACAAATGTTTATTTTTAAATTGGGATAAGGTCTTAATCATGAATTCAGAAAAAAGGTGCTCTCTATTCGAGAATCTGGAAGTTGCTTTGTTGACTTTTTCTCATCTTGTTATCTGTAGCTTTAAAAAAATCCAAGGGTATGCTTTTTAAAAATTAAACAAAACTCTTTATCCATATGAAACCAGGCAGGATTAATGTCCTTTGAAAAGTCCCATTCTTGGACTTCCGGTTCCATCTTACAGCGATGCGGCCCAGGGACTGCAGGGCTCCACACTCCACGGCTGGTTTCGCCCTGCCACGGGACCCTAAATGGGTCTGATGTTGCCCCGGAGAGGCAACGAAGAAAGAGGGGCACCTCGATGATCACGGAACAATGGCAGTCGATCAGTTCGATCTGGGGGAAGCCCTCTAACCCAACAGGAGAAAGGCTAGCTGCACACCAGCATCTAGCCTAAGCTGCTAGCAGCCGAAGTCCAAGAACACAAACCAGAACAACAGTGAACAGCGTGCGTGGAACTGGGTGAGATTATCAATCTCCTCTCTTCTATTTTGTAACTGATTCCTTGGAAAAGATCCCCAAAGCAAGAAATCCTCTGAAAGTGAAGGGAGGGGATCACATTCCCATCCCTCCACAGACAGAAGCGGCGAATTAACTTCCAAGGGGGAAAGAAATAACTGAAATGAAATTAATATTACTATAGTCTGGATAAATTAAGATTTTATGTCCTGGATTACAAAAAACATATATAAAGATAAGAACTATATAAGATTTGGTTGTTTGGATTTTAAGATTGGATGGTTTGATAAGGCTAAATGCAGAGACTATGGTACTGGTAAAAGACTACCTGGAGGGAGGAGACAAAATAGATATTGCATACCTACCTAAAAGTGACATGAAACCACACCTAACATTCTCTTCTGAAGGACCTAGCCTGGAACATCAGAGATCTGCAGGAGCAATACTCCAAGATGAGACAAATACTTTCCAGGAGGAAATGTATGCAATGCTATAACAGATTCAAATGACAATGGTTTCAAACCATGATGAGATTAAAAACCACTTTGATGATATAAATGAGCACATCTTTAATTTAAAATCACAAATAAAAAACTCTCAGAAAACGACGATAAAGAATGAACAAACAAACCAGATAACAGAACACAAATTAGAAGAAAGTGGCTTAAATAGGGAAGCTACAAATCAGGAGAAAATCTACAAAATTTTGCCACAACAATGAAAATGGAAAAGATATCTTATCTGTCAGGACTTCAAAACAAACTTGAGGATAAGAAAAAAGATTTAGTAAAATGGATTATAGAGCTGCCAGGAGAATCATTAGAGTCTGGGAGACAAAAAGTGTACATCATATACAACTTATCTTTCTCACTCCCAACAATATTTACAAAAATACAAGAATCAAGCGGAATATACTAACTTGGAAAGCTACTAGGCAAAAGAAGAAGGCTAGAGTTAGATTCAAGAGACCTGATTCGACTTACCAGATGGAGTACTACATGATTAAACACTTGTTTGAAGATGGTTAAAAGAATAGATAATTTTGGATATAAAGGAGCTATAGTAAGAGGATAAGAGACATAACATAAGTAGTATAATATTTTTTATAATATATGAAATGTAAAAATATTGGGATAATGTATGTGAATGAAAAGTTAGGACATTTAAAGGTAATTAACTTTGAGAGAAGTATGATCGAGAAGAATGATTTGAAGACTTAGGGAAAACTAAGCTTAAATAAGAATTTTGAAAACAAGACATATAGTGATTTAACAAGATGACTATTACAAATATAATTGAAACATAAGCCGACCAGAAAAGATGTTATATGTGGATGTTATAAGATATATAAGTAGTATAGTATCTTTATAATATATGAAATATGAAAATATTGGGGTGGTATAAGTAAATGAAAAGTTTGGATATTTAAAGGTAATCAATTTTGAGAAAATTATGATTGATAAGAATGGTCTGAATATTGAGGGGAAATTAAATATAAATAAGAATTCTGAAAACAGGATGTATAGTGATTTAATGAGATGACTTTTTCAAATACAATTGAAATATAAGTCAATCAGAAAAGATGTTATATATGGATGTCATTGTTACTTGTACAAATACAAAAAAGTCTATATCCAACTTTGTATGCATTGAAAATATTAAGAATTATATCTGTCTAATGCTGATAAAGGAGAATATTATTGGAAGAAGGGAAGATCAAGGAAACAAACAATTAATATATTATGGAATTATAGAAATTATTATTGATTATTTTTTAAATATATGAACCCAGACAACATGCTGTTTACTAAGCACTAAAGATTGTCATTGTAAAAAAAAAATCAATAAAATATATCTGTATTTTATTCCAATTTCATTTTATTTTATTCCAATTTCATTTTAAATTGTATTTGATCTAATTCCATTTTAAATTGCTTTTATCAAATTTTAGTAATAATTTGTTTCTGGAACTTTGCATTTTGATGTGGCCCAAGGGCTAATAAATAAATAGACAGATAGATAGATAAACAAACAAACAAACAAACAAATAAATGTCAATAAAATATATTTAAAAAGAAAAGAAAAGTCCCATTCTTGCTATTTTATTTCCATTCTATCAAACAATGAAACTGCTGAAGGCATTTGATGCTTGCCCAGTAAAGCTTATGCATGTATCTTTTTCCCCCCCAAACTGAACCTCAAATTGCAGATTCAAGAGCCCAGATTGAACTGCTTTGCCCTGGAACCACAAAGTCAGAATGAATCATGTCCCTCTCCAGTTCAAATTGAATCAGGGCTGATTCGCATAGACTTATTAAGGCTTTCTAACATGCTTTGTTCATTCATTACTGGCTAAGTACAGCACACTGTCTAATTGAAGAGAGAAACCTTCTTGGTTGGGGCCATTCTGGGTAGTTACCCAATTTTAAAAATTAAGCACTGACCCCTTCCCAAGTGTGATCAACAGCTGCATGAAACATTCAAGATCCTCTCTTCTGAGCATCACAGAGCATCTCTGAGAACAGCTCCAGCCTTTCTTACCAATTATTAGTAGCAGCCAGGCTACTTTCGATTATAATACCCCCTAACACGGGAATGATAGCAACTCTGATGAGAGAGCTGTAAAAGAAAATAGACCCTCACTTCTGCAAATCG